ATTATTTTATTGAGAAAACATTATAAAATTACTACTCAACTAAAATTAAAGAAATAATTACCATACTACACAGACAGGCGGCGCCTTGGGCGATTCTTTTGTCATAGCTTGGCATTGTTTTCGTTATAAGCGAGTTCGTAGTACGTGAACACGCCGTACGCACTTGTACGTGCACACGCACGCACGTGTACGTGCACACGCACGCACGCACGTGTACGTGCACACGGCGCACGCACTACTCAACTAAAAAAACAGGGGGTGCTGCAGCACCCCCAGCGCTCCCGGCTAGTAAACCGCACTAATGCGTAACGCGTAACGCTATGGGTTAGGTTTAGGATTAGGGTTAGGGTTAGGGTTAGCGACGTGGATATTCGTCCGAGCATCGTTGCGCATCACTACGAAAGGTTATACACCATAGATTAATTTGGGTACTATGACACGCGTATATAAGATAGCCGAGTCGGTTTAGAGTTTGTGTTACGGTTAGGGTTGGGTTAGGTTGACTGTTTGTACTTGTGTGTATATTTTGCTCGGACGAATATCCACGTCCTTAGGCTTAGGGTCACAAGGCACCATAAAACAGCGTTACGCATTAGTGGTACGGAAAAAATAGACGCGGCCGCGGGACCCGCAGTCTGAGCCCGCAGTGAAAGGGTTTTAATAAGGCCGTGGCTATTCTTAAAAAAATCTTTATGGACTATTATTACGACATGCAACGCGCATGCGCATAATACTATTAATAGGTAATATAATTCTAGTTTAGGGAGTCGACTACACCTACTACCTAACCCTAACCCTAACCCGAACCCTAATCCTAACACAAACTATAAACCGACTCCATTTCCTTATATAGGTAATATATCTCACAAAAACAATCTATGGTGTATAACGAAATACGCAACGCATGCGCGTGCGCGTTTGCATGTCGTAAGAATAGTCCAAAAATAATTCTTACGACTTGTCGTAAGAATAGCCACTTCCTTTTAATAATTAGAATTAGTAAGAGCTGGGATTCGGGCTGAATTTTCCCCCTCCCCCGCACAACAACAGCTTTCAGGCCTGTCAACATAAGGAGAAGGAAGCAGACTAGGGGACCATAGGGAGAAGGAAGCAGACTAGGGGAATATAGGGAGAAGGAAGCACGCTAACAGAGTGCACATTAGGGTGCCACAGACTAAAAAAAACACACTTTTGCATGAAGGAAGCACACTAACGTGTCTGAATGCGCATGTATGTTACAGACAAGTACTACGTGTCCGTGCTGCGGTCGGACGACAACGAAGTCCTGCCGATCATCAGCGAGCCGTGGTCGCCCGCGCGACAGTGCGACCACCGCTCGGCAGACGACACCCGTCACACCCCGACGTCGCTGCTCCACGGCAGACGACAGTCGCAGCAGCGCAGCAGCCCCATCTCTCCGAGCATGAGCGTGCGCGCGTGTGCGGGGCCGATGTCCGCCACGAAGGTGCGCTGATTCGCGGAAAGATTTTCGATTCGAAAGTTTGCAGATTCGTTTATTTCGCAGATGTTTATCGTAGATCGTTAGATTCCGTAGTTGGGTTTTTAGATTTTGATTTTTAGGTTCTTTTTTTAAATCTGAATGCGTTGCAGGCAGAAGAGCTCCACCAGGCGTGGAAGTTTCCGCTCGTTCTCAGTCCGACTCGTGCCTATAGCAGTGCAAAGATACGTCGCGCCGACAACGACAAGGGTCTGGAGCGAATCGGCAGGTAAGTCGGGCCATCGCCCGTCGTCTGAAATCGAAACGAGATTAATTTCCTCGGGCGTTGATGTGATTTGATTTCGCGTGAGGCGTCAAAGTCGGGTGACGTTACGGAACTTGTAGTAACAATATGGTATAAATAAGTTAATTAATATAGGTAAGAAGGTATTCTAGGTATTAATTGTTAACGTAGTTAATATTAACGTAGTTCTTCCTACCGTAGAATAGTTTAAAGTACCCGTGTTGTCGAGGCGGTTTTGTTTGTCTCTCAGCGAACGAGATATAGATGGCGCCACCTTGCTTGTGTAGGCGTCTGTCGCATGAGATGGCCGTGCCGTGGCGCGAGTACTGGAGCGCGTTCGACGACTACGCTGACCTCTCTACGCAGCCAGGCCTAGCCAAGCTCGAGCAGTTTCTACGGAAGCGCTTCGGCGAGGTGAGATTAATTCATAGATACTGAGATAACTAGTTAATCAATAGTAATTAATTAGTGCTAATTAATTGCTATTAATTAATTTTTAGTTACTGAGAGTACTAGAGATAGATACTGATCTCCGTGTACTGACTGGATGGTGGTTGGCCGATCCACGGTCGGCAAGAGAAGTCACCGCGTCACTGTCTGCCATCTTGAAACCACTTTTGAAAGTTTGACTATTTTGGCGTGTGCCACATAGCGTTTCGCGCCTGCATAGATTGGCACGGGAAAAAGTTGGAACTTCTGTTTCAAATACGCGTTTAAACTTTTTTAATACGACGGTTTTTTCTCAATTTTTATTGTGGAAGAATACTCTTTGTACATCGTTGTACTCGTTACACAAAAAAGTTGTACAAAAAAGAATACGTTTTATTGACATTATTATGTTAAATAGTGTAGTTTATACCACTACTGTAGAATAAACGTGTCTATGAGGGAAATTTTAGTGGTCAGCCCTCAGTGGCAGTTACACAGTAAAACCACCTCAGTAGAAAGGACACCTGTCTATAAAGGCCAGTTTCCCTCGAGTGACCCTTATACTTATACTTATACTTATACCCTTATACTTCCCTGTGGTGTACAGCCATGATTAACATTCTCGCATGCTAACAGGTGGCTGCGGCTGAGTTGGAGAAGAAGCAGGAGGAGGAGGCAGTGTGGGCAGAAGCCTGCGAATTTCACCAGCAGGTGGAGTCACCGACGATGCAGGACTTGGCCAGGCACTTTGATACGTTGTCGCTGAATTCTCCGCGGAGGGCAGAGGGTGAGCTGTTCTCCAATACTGCTGTGACTGCTAGCTATTGATGATATATATATATATATATATATGTCTTGTGTATAATCTATGTGGTGGAGCATCAATATTGTAATATGTAATTCAGTTGGTTCGCATTATATTTAACCCTTTCCCTGTTGGTTCCTATCATACCCTATCTAAAATCTGTATCCTATAGATTTTAACCTAACCCTGACCCTAACCCTAACCATAACCATAACCCTAACCCTAACCCTAACCCCTACCCCCTAACCCCTAACCCTAACCCCTACCCCCTAACCTTAACTCCAACCCCAACCCCAACTGTAACATCTTGTCACGTGTCACGCTCGTCACCGTCTGTGATATATGCGTCCGCGTTTCCGCAGATGCTCGCCAGGCGGCCGACCACGCGGAATCGTCGCCGCGGTGCGACAGTCCGTCCGTCGGCATCGACCTTCCGTCGTCGGTCGGCGGCCGCTACGATAGAGCGCCCTCTGTGAGCAGCGACGATGAGTCGGACGTGTACGTGACGCCGCCGCAGTCTCCGCGCGCCGGGGAGTCGCTGCCGCCGCCGCCGCCGCCGCCGCCGGACATTGCAGCGTACATCGGCGGGTGAGTCACGCAGCGTGAGCGTAACACCGTGTGGTGTGTGTAGTACCGGCGTACAGCGCACTGTGTGTGTGTGTGCGTGTGCGTGTGCGTGTGCGTGTATGTGTGTACATGGATGCGTGCGCGTGCGTGTATGCGTGTATGTGTATGCATGCGTGTGCGTGCGCGTGCGTGATAGTTGAGCATGGTGCGGTCATCGTGATGTCGTTTGCATCCGGTCGTTATGATACCTGTTGCCGTGGTTACTGTTTGCATCAGCGGTCATTGTGATACCGATTTGTTGCAATTACCGTTTCAATCCGAGGGTTGCGACACCAGTTACGTCTTGTTATTGTGTTACCGGTTGCCGTGGTTACCGTCTGCATCCCCGGCAACGTTGTCTGCTACCTCTGCTGCAGGTCTGAGCCGAGCAAGGTCGACGTTGACGTGATGAGGGCGCTGGAGGACGTGGAGGTCGATCCCCGCTTCTACCCGCACACCGCCAGGTGGCGCCGGCTAGTCATGGAGTTTCCCGAGCGCGAGCGAGAGCGGTGAGCGAGGCGTCGTCATTGTCGTCGGGTCTGACTCGCGCGAAATCGTCGCAAAGTGTCGCCGATTCAAAACGTTTTCCTGACGGGTTTTGTGTTTTCCTGACCGTTCTTGTGTCTCCCCCCACCCCCACCCCACCGGTCATGGGGAGCCACAGTCCTGGAAACCACTTTTCGTGGATTGTAATATGGCTTCATAGAGTAGAAATCGAAATTTACGAAATCGCGACCGACTGGGTATTATGACGTGTTCCGACACGACTCGTGTCTGCGTCGAAGTCTGCGATCTTTATGGACTCGCTCTCATCGTTGTGTTTTTGCATCGTCCGTAGGTGGAGGAGTCCCGCCGCGCCGAGGTACCGCCACCGGACTACCGCTCTCCCCGCCAGCTCTCTCGCGACGCCGCCCACTGTGGGACGATCGCCCGTGATGGCACAACCACGCCTCGCGGCGACGCCGGGTTGCGACACGGACGCCGCCGCCGCCGCCTCGACCTCGCCCGTGTCCTCGACGACAGGTGGCAGCACCAAACCCGTGCCGGTGAACTTGTTCACGAAGTTTCAGGACGCGGCGTGATTTGCTCGCGCGGGGGGCTGGGCGGGAGGGGTCGATTCCCGGGACGCGCGCTTGTTGCTGTGATTATTCCAAGGTGTAATAATTTCTAGTTTATTGTTCGGTGAATTCGTGCGCATCTTTATATGTATATATTAATTATTAATTGTTTGCGTCGGACGTGCGATGCCCGTTTTATATTTTGCGAGCTTTCCCCGTGTTCATGTGACCAGCGATTGGCGATGGATCTTGCTTGGTGTGATAGTGTCAGATGTTAGTTAGTCGACGCGATAGCGGAATAGCGGCCGCGCGATGGCAGGCTTGGCTGTATAGTTTGCAAGTTGCTACGCATTTGTTTTGAGAGCGTGTTGAAAATGTTTCGCTAGTCTTGCTATCCTCATTGTCTTGCTTCTCCTCCTCCTCCTCCTC